TGATTAGAAAAGTTCTTAGCAAATAATCAACTGATTAGAATATAACAAGCAAGCATGAGTGTAGCCTGTCAAGCAGTCATAGAATAATAGGCAGGGAGTTGATTATAGAACCAAGATTCGTGTTTTGGAGGTTTATACTGGTTGGTAACGACTGAGCTGGGTTAGCTCCCATGTGATCTTTTATGTTTGATATCCATTGATGATCTTCATACGATTAAATTGAAAGAAAAAAAATCGATGTTAATGTTTAAAAACTGGTCTGAAAATACCCTTAACCTGTTCACTATCCCTCAATGGGACAGTCCAAATCCAGCAACGAAAATTAGAGTTTGTGGCTTGGAGGTGTCGTGTATAAACAATGGCGTCGTCGCATACAACTCCTGACGCCGAGTCTCGTGAGCGTTGCGAGTTGCAATGAAACCAGAAGCTAATAATACCCTTCACGTCTCGCAGATGCATGCGCCATAAGACCACAAGTTCCGCACAGTTATACAACAGATATGGAAACCACAATCCTTTACGGTGTAAAATATACTCCAGCTAGTACTTTGAACTCTTGAGATGTTAATTTGGCTCCTCTGCTCGGTGGGTTTTTGCTCTAGATGTGCAAATCGTAAGAAACTTCCTAGTAAGTGAACTTACGCTTTGAAACCTTACTTTGACTTCATTTCAATTTCAAAATGAACACATTAACCCGGCCATGGTTGATCTAATAATTAACTTTACCAAACTTCGTCTATATTTAGTTCCGGGTTAACGATGGGTTAAAAAAATAAAAAAAATATTATTTTAATAAAAAAATAATTAGTTAGACTGTCATAATAATCATGTGATCCAAGCTATTTTTTTTTAGATTAACGTGGGTGTCCGGGCCAGCTTGCGCGCATCACGACTAATCCCACGGGCCCTGAAGTTAACGACCATGTAAGCCTCCAGTGGCCATCATATGAGCAACCAAGGACTCGAACCTGAGACCACAGAGGGAGCAAACCCCTTGATCCCAAATCCTTACCAGTTGGAGCAAACCTCTTGATCCAAGCTATTTTTGATCATACGATATCTCTATTAGCTGAGTGAACAATGAATTAAAAAAAATGGTGATTGAAGCTTTTTTTTATATATATATTAGTTATTGACTCAAACTTTTTTTTCATAGTCGGGTTAACAATAAGTTAAAAAAATAAATTAATATTATTTTAATTAAAAAATTAATTAATTTAAATTGACATAATCATCCGGTAATTCAAGTTTTTTTTTTCATATCAAATCTCAACTCAAGTCTTATAATTATAATTAATACTTGAAAGTGACTCTAAAATGCATTACAATAATGTTAATGTTATGACTGTTAAAATAATTAAGATCAAATACAAAAAAGAGGTTAAAATTATGAATAATCTGTATATTATGAATGCTTGGTTTTAACCAAAATACAAGCAAAGTATATATAGATTAAACTGAAAATATTATTTTACCCTTAATAAATAAGACTACATAAATATTATTTAACAATGACTATTTTATATTTTGGTTATTTTATCCTTTTCCTTAGCTTTAGGGATAGGATGATCTTGTTATCATGATATAAATGTTTTTTTTTTATGATTATGCAAGGTTATTTTGGTAATTAAAATTTTAACAGCACAATAAAATTACTAATATAACCCTTTAAAATAATCTAATGCCTTTAGCACGAGGGTGTTTTTGTATTTTCAAAATTTATAGAATAGTTGAATTACTGTATTACCTTTACTATTTAAATTTTTTAGCCTTGAATTCAAGAGCTTGGTTATAATTTCATTATGGTTTGTTTGTTAATATTATTTAGTCTAAAGGCATTTTCAATTTTTGCACCAAAAGAAATATGAAAAAGTTGTTAACGCATGTCTCGCACATGTCAACGCATTATTCGCTAAATTGCTTTTTGGTGATACGTTCAACTAGCTCTAACAGTTGTAACCGTGATCCCGCTACATCATTTGATTTGTCTTGGCGTTCTCTTTCTTTATGCGATGGCGGGTATATGATAGTTTTGCATGGTTTAGCTTGAAATTACTTTTTCTTTTTCTTTTTTTTTTCTTTTTCTTCTCTTTCTTCATTGAATTATGTGTTGGCTATGTAAAAATTCATACCAACTGTTCAATTTATTCAATATATTTTTTCTTTTGATTCAATCCCTCTTCTTTTATTTACAATTGTTTTATTTACATTAATTGTTTCTGATTAGATTTTATTTTCAATTTCATCCCTAATCATTTGATTTTTTAAATTTAGTCGTCATTCTTCTAATTTTTATTTGTTTTGTTTTGAATTATTTTCTTGATTAATTTGTTTTTTTTTCAATTCCACCCGTAATTTTGTATTTTCATTTAATTTTATGTTAAATTTAATTCTAATTTTTTTAAATGCTATTTTTTTAATTATTTTCATAATGAATTAGTTTGTACAATTTTCCCTGAACATTTAATCTCATTTGATTTTTTCCTAGACATTAAATTTCATTTAATTTTGATGATGAATTTAATCTTGATTCATTTAATTGCTTCTTCTTCTTTTTTGCATTGTTTTTTTATTTTTTTTTAATTTCATCCCTCAAACTTTTTCTTCAAACTCCAATTATAATGGAAGCCTCATATAAAGAAGAGGCTAAAGATCTGGGGACAAAATTTCTTTGGCCACATATCCTCCATTTCCTTTGATGATTCCATGATTTTTCATGCTTCCCCTTTTTTCATGGGCAATTTTCAGGAGTATCTTTCGTATGATTATCACACTATCTGAGCAATCCACATCCTATGCACCTTGTTGTAACCCAATTTTGGATTCACTAAAATTTTTTGGAATGTTATTTTATCTTATTATTCATGACAAAAAAATATAATAAAAAAAAAGAAAAAAAAGAGTTTAAAATATATTTTCTCGAGTCAACCGTCATTTTCGATCAAAACCGAATCCACCGAGTCAATACGGGTCCCACCATGTCGACCGGGATGAAAAATGAGTTTCAGGCTGTTTCGGGTCAAAACTGGTATTTTTGGTCAAAAAACCCGGTCGACCGAGTTGATACCCGTATAAAAAAGTTTTTTTTGTAATTTAAAATTAATTTTTAGCGGATGAAAAACTTTTTATAATACTGATTTGAATTTTTAATTTTTACCCCTATAAATAAATATTATTATTATTTAGTATTATTATATTATTATTTAGTATTATTATATATAATAAAACAAATAGTAATCGATGGAAGTTGAAAATTTTAACAATCCGTGAATTGTTAACAATTCATCCGTGAATTGTTGTCTGAATTCATTGGCTATAAATAGCCAATGAATTCAAGACAGCAGAGGAAAAAAAGAGAATAAAAAATTGATTTCTGCATTTGCAATTCTCAAATCGAGCAGGTTACTATTTAGGTTACTATTGGAAACTATTTATTTTTTTATATTTTTTCTGTACATTAAAGTTTTTTTTAATAAATTAAAAAATACCAAAAATATCCCAACCGTTAGATCTAATAGTGTTTAGATCTGAGCCTTTTCTTTCTTAGGATACAATAGGCTTTACCACACCAAATTAAAACCCAAATCACTCTCAGCCGTTCAAATAATCTGCCCTTCGATCTGGTTGCGCCACGTCAGCAGGTATACCGAGCACTCGGTACACGGCGCCACACCAGATAGTAGCCCATTCAATCCTGACCGTCCGATCATCTTGGAGATCAAACGAATCACAGCCGCACGATCTGTTCATCCGAGATACAGCGGTTCACAGCCTTCAGAGGCACGAGTGCGCCATACACTCGTCCACACCAGATCCAAACCCAGAGCTTCTCTCTCCTCTCGCCGGCGATTCTCTCTCTCTCCGCGGATCTCCCATTTCCGGCCGTCTCAAGCCGTGAAACCACCACAGAATTGTGCATCGCCTCCCCCTGAGCAAAACCCCGGCAGTTTCACACTTTTTCACCGGATAATTTGGCCGGAAAAAGGCCGCGACCGACATCGACCTTCAAGTCGTCGATTCTCCCTCCTCAGCCATCAACGGCCAACGAGACCACCACCATCGGAATCCTCATCCTTAGATCTACCAGAATTGACTATCTTTTGGCTGGAAACTCGCCGGAAAATTTCGCGTGTGAACAGTAACCGCGGGTCCAGTGGCATTTTCGTAAATTTTCGATAAATCCGAGGATATTTCAGTCTTTTGCCTATAGAGGGGTACTGAGGTAATTTTCTATGATATTTTATGGTATTTTATGATATTTTTATATATAAATACTTGTAAATTTTTACATGTGAAAAAAAACAAAAAAAAATAAAAATAAATAACAACGCGGGTTCAACACCCATTTTTATCATATCACTGTTCATAAGTCAAAAGCCCAATTTTCAAGAATTGATATATCTATTTGTGAATGATATCAAAATAATTTTTATTTTATAAAATAAATATTATTTGTCGACACGTCTCTTTTATTTACAGAAAAGGACCGATGTCAAAAAAAAAAATTAAATACCAAATATGAATTATGTCCATTATTATTTATTTTGGTAAATCAGACGTAACTCTCCTTTTTAGGGATAAACGTCGACATTTTAGACAAAGTCTCCTAATTTTAGGGACTGATGTCATTTTTAACGCGTCTCCCATTTTTAGGGACCGACGTTAAATATGTTAAAAATTTACAAATAAGCTCAAAATATAATAGCATTTGAATCAAAATAAGAAAAACACACAAGTAAAGGTAACCTTTCTCTGAAAGGATGTTTTAAGGGTGGTGTCTACCTTCCCTTAATAATAACTAACCTAGTATCCGAATCTCTGGGACCAGTGTCTAATTTTGGATTTCTAGTTCCCTCAAATTACTAGATGGCGACTCCAAATAAAATCTTTATTTCCCCCTAATCAAATAAAAAATTAAATTTCTTTTGTTTTTTTTTTAAAAAAAAACAAACAAAAAAAGGAGTGGAGCCGTCGCCCGACGTCCTGTAGCGACACACCTAAAAAATAAGGTTAGATGAACAATTGATGCATACAACTCCCTAATTACAGAGTCAGGTTCTTATCATGTGGCTGACTCAATAGAGTGATGTCTCAGGGAAATTGATACAATAACAGTACTGACTGCTCAATGCAACCATGAACCTACAGGTAGTTAAATGAAACTGGGAAATGGCTGTAACTTGTTTCACTATCAAAATGGGAAGTCAATTACAGAAGTTGGGAAACAAAAACCCTCACGTATTCATATATACGACATTCAACACCATCTGTCAAACATCCTCATCTCCATTCTCCACAGCAATAACAAGATCAAACTCCATCAATAGACGCGGAAGTAGAGCAAGAACTATGAATTCTACAGTCATTACACTTCTGTCTTTTTGTTTACAAACCATTCCTCAATGAAAAGCTAAAACTGGCAATTTTCCAACCTTGCACTAATAGCGGGTGTAGATTTGAGTTGTAACTCTATAATGTTTGAATTCAGGTAACAGAAGTAGTAAAAGGTTAGACGTTTGTCGCTAAATTATCCTTCCAAGACCCTGATGCCACAGGACATTGACAAGATAATAACTTTGAAAACCTTTTTCTTAGCTTTCTAAGATTTCTTTTAAATAATACCAGATCCGGTCCTATCTGCACCACCGAAACCAGCTCAAGCAAGTTCAGGTGCATAAAGATACAATGAAGAGGCTAGACCTGCCAAACAATAGTCTACCCTGCACGCTATGTAACCAGTGGGGCAACGAAACTAAAAGACTTTTCCAAAAAAATAAATAAATGAGAAGTACAAAAGACATGATTGGAATTCAGAATAGAAACGCAACTGAAATACTTTGAACAAAGGTATGAACTGCCATAAATTATTGACTTCATTGGGTAACCAATCTGAATAATAATAATAACATACATGTCCCAGTCTACATTTTCATTTATAAGCCCCTATACTCTATCAACATCTTAAGCTAGCCATGAGGGCACCAATATCGTTGAGTAACTGTGGCTTGATTCTAATGGTTTTGTGCATTCTATGGATACCTTCAAGGGTATCATCGTCTGAAAACAAGGTGACCCCAATTTATGACCCAGGGGATATAGAGCAGAGGTTTGAAGACTGGCTGACCCGATATGGCAGAGAATATGAGACTAGAGACGAATGTCACTGTGTTTTGGAATATACCAATCTAATGTTCAGTTCATTGACTACATCAATTCTCAAAACTTATCCTTCAGGCTCACTGACAACAAATTTGCAGACCTAACAAATGAAGAGTTCAAATTTACCGACCTATGTTTTCGGAGTAATAGACATACAGCTAAAAAGATAAACAATGGGTGCGGGGTGCAAAAATAGCAGAGTTGCCAGCTGCAGTAGATTGGAGGAAGCAAGGTGCTGCGACTCCTATTAAGGACCCAGGTCAATGTGGTATGAGATTCTCTCATTCAAGTTCATTTAATTGCTAATTGTCAGTTCTTATCTCAAATCATTTTCAATAAGAACAGCTGATGCTAGTTTCTTTCCAACACAGGAAGTTGTTGGGCATTCTCTGCAGTGGCATCTGTGGAAGGCATCAACAAAATCAAGACAGGAAAATTAGTATCTCTGTCAGAACATGAGCTCATGGAACGTGACGCTAGCAGTGATACCCAGGGCTGCAAAGGTGGAGACATGAAGATAGCATTTCAATACATCAAAAGGATTGGTGGAATCACAACCGAAAATGACTACCCTTACAAAGGAAAAGACAGAACCTGTCAGAAAAAGAAAACTAGGGACCATGCAGTGAAAATAAGTGGTTATGAAGCAGTACCTGCCAATAATGAGAATAGACTACAAGCTGCAGTTGCCCAGCAACCTGTCTCTGTTGCAATTGACGCTGGTAATTTTGAATTTCAACTCTATTCCAGTGGTACTCTTCAGTGGCTCCTGTGGGGATCAACTCAACCATGGAGTGGCAGCAGTTGGTTATGGTGAATCTAGGGGTAGAAAATATTGGCTTGTGAAAAACTCTTGGGGCAGAGACTGAGGTGAATCCTATATAAGGATGAGACGTGGTTCTGGAAATAAGAAAGGTATCTGTAGCATTGCCATTGAGCCCAGATATCCAGTCAAGTAGTAGGAAGTCCTTTAAGTGTATCAGCCAGATCCAAATTATAACATGATGGATGTTAGCTTAACAAGATGCTTCATGATGCTGTTTACATATGTAAATCAAAGAAAAGATGTTATTGGAAAGCTGAACTTATTAATAATTGAGATTCACTGAAAGCATGCAACTACAAATATGTGGCAAAAGCATAAGTGGGCGACAACTACACCAAATATGGAATAGAGATGACAAAATGGTCCTTGAGGGATAATAAGTTTTCGATGCACTGTTATTGTTTCTAACTTGACATCCCCAGCTTTTGTTCTGTATTCGCTAGCAATCTAAACATACTATCATCCTCTTTGTCTGTGATTTAAAGAGAGAAAAAAAGGATTTACATTTTGGAAAACTGAGACAGTATACCTTGCTTATGTGCTGGATGTTTGTCAATATATAAATCAACAAAATATTTTCTTTGTGCAGCAGTAAGAAAAAAAAACATGCTTTTTTGGAGAGAGAAATAGTTTCAGGAATCGCATTGCATATTTAATTAAACATTAAATGATAGATCAATTATTATTTCATTTTCTGATATTTTAATATTAATTAGATTTTTATCTTGAAAGAAATCAAGGTTTATTTATTTCATTAAAGCAACTAAATTCTACAGTAACACATGCGCCTGAACATTGCTCTCAAAAGTTGTCTTTGCAACAAATTTTATGCATGCCTTCCTTTATATAAGCAAATCTTAGTGTTCTTCTTCGTCTTTTTTATTTTCTGTGAAATTGAGAAACCAAGATTGATTACTTCCCATCTCCTGCCCTTACAGTTTAAACAAATGCACAAGAGCAAAATTTTATTTTTGACTGACGGGAATTAAAATTGAAGGTCAATAAACAAAAGCTTCACGACAATTCAGATTTCAAACAGAGTATGACATCAAGCTGAAGAAGATGATAGAAACCCAGTCAACTAATTAAGTCACACGAATCTCACTTGGGTGCCCTTCGAAAACAGAGTGGAAAAGATGCAGGATGGGGAAACTACAAACTGATGCATAGATTCATTTCATTTTATTTTATTTTATTTTAGAGGATACTGTGTAATGCAGGAAATGAGGCAAAATAATAGCCCACTGATAGGAGTTGGGGGCACTATTCCTCCAGAAATAATCTCAACTACTAACCAATGGATACTTGTGGTATATAGAATCACACCTAAGCAATGAAATGAACAATATCAACAATGTGGATTCTGTAAGAGGAAGGAACATGAACGAACTCCAATACCTACCACTAGTGATTTGGTACAGAGAAGAAGTGAAATAAAGGGGAACACCATAGAATTTCTAAATTCAAATTCATCTACAAATAGAGAAGCTAATTATGTGAGTTTAGCATTATTCAGTCTGCAGAATTTTGAATTGCAACAAATAGAAAACTTGCATTGAACACTTCTTAACTACCAAAATCCAACCTCGATATCCATATGATCATGCAATTGGCATGATTCATCAAGAAATAAGAAATAATGCTTCAGTCTGTACATAGCAACTTAAGTCAATACAAAATTATGCATTGTTAACAACACGCACCAGTAAGTTTCAACTCCAACACCCTCGTGTCCATTTTGTGAGAGAATGACCGAATGGCCGCCATGGATTAGCTGTCTCGAGATGATAAAATGTTGGTGCTGCTAACAAAAAGAAAAACTGACGTCTATATGAGCCATCACGAAGATGCACAAGTTCAGTTCTCTAAGAAGCCTCGGTATCAAACACCAAAAAAGAAACTATGAACTTAATGCTGCAAATCTTTCTCTCACAGTACAAGCAAGCTTCCATTCACCAACATCAATCAATCCCTCAATCACCTTTTGCCTCACCTTGATATAAGGTATAAACCCTTTCTCTGTCATTCCCATCACAACTTTCGCGGCCAAAAAAAAATCTTTACACTCCAAACATCCCTCAACTACCAACTCATAACTTTCAAACCCAACACCGTAACCTTCCTTCTCCAGGAACTCAATCATTTCACCAGCTTTCCTCATCTCTCTATTCGCCCTCAACGCTGCCAATACTTTCACCACTACTCCCTGCCGAGGACACAAGCGCATTCTCACCACCATTTCCTTCATCATCTTAATTGCATCGTCACATTTTCTAACTCCACACATTGCACCAATAACAATCCCATAACTTTCCCAATCAGGAAAACAACCCACTTGTTTCATACCCTTCAAGACTTTCACTGCCTCGATCAACTGATCAACATTACATAAAGACAACACAATATAATTACACAAACCACAATCAGGATTATACCCAATAGACTTCATTTCCATTAGAATGTCACCAACTGACTGACCTTCACGCCGGCGATCAAGCCAAGCAGAAGAGAGAAAAACATGTGTTTGAGGCACAGGTAAGCACCCAGAACGAAGAGTGCATTGGATTATAGCAAGAGAAAGAGGGAAAAGATTTGAATTTTGAAGGGTATATGAGAGAAGAGAGCTATAAACTATAGAGTTTCGAAAGCGGGGTCTTATGGGGATCAAAGATTGGATGATCTCATCAATGACTTGAGTCCTAAGATTAAAAGGGAAGGTAGAGAGGAAAGAAAAAGGACTTGGGTTGTTGTTAGATTGTTTAAAGGAGTCGAAAAGGTCAGGGATTTTTAAGTAGGATTTGGATTCAACGGCTGCTTTGAGGGTTTCTTCAAGTGGTGTATGTGAGGTAGAGAGTGTACGAAACTGAAGGAGAATTTTACTGTATGGAAGAAGAGATTTGCTCAGCTTTGTTGCTAGATTTGCCATCTGTAAATGAATCAAAATAATGATTCAAACTGAAATAAAATTAAATCTCGCCATGGGAATATTATCAAACAGGTTGTGGCCGTGGGCATGAAAAACAAGCCGTGGACCAGCTAAGGGTTTATGGCCGGCGAAAGCCTCGAAACATTGCCACAAGTCACTCTATTATAGACATTATGTCAAATCAATCCCTGCAGAAATAATTTGGCCAAAATCAACTCTTGCACTTCCAATGTTTGCACTTGTCAAGACAGATATTATCTCTAACAATCTAAGATAGTGGTTATTATTATAGTAATGAATATTATTTAAAATATTTTTTATTTAAAAATATATTAAAATAATATTTTTTAATGTTTAATATAGGTATATCAAAACAATTCAAAAATATTAAAAAATAAATTAAAAAATATAAATATAAAAATACAATTAAACCACAAAAACAAACATTACTTAACTTTTTAATACTAACTTTCCATTAGATTGACAACACATTATTAATTGGAAACTCTTGCAAAATCTTTCATCAAAACATAAAATAATAAAGATTTATCATTAATAAATATTTTATATTTTTTAAAATTTATTTTTAGTATTTAGTTTTGAGATTAGAATCCATATTATTAATAGTGATTTATTTTTTGAAAGAAAATAAAAATTAAATATCAAAATTAAATCCAACATTATTTTTCTCAATATTATCAAATATTAATATGTAGTATTTCAATATTTACTCGTATTATAATTCATATTATATTTTTTTTGTGTTGACAAGAAGTTTTATTATAAATGTTAATAATAAAAAAAATATGTATATTGAAGCAATTTTGCAAAAGAATCAATTTTTAATTTTTAAGATTTATTTAAGTATGCATGATTTTATTTACTTACTTGGAATTAAAATTAGAATTTAATAATGTAAAAGTAGACATACGGAAAAGAAGATATACATGATAACTTATTCTTTTAAATTTTTGTTGTCATAATATTACTAAAATTCTAACAATGGGTATGAAATTATTTACTTTCCAAATTTAAGCACTTAAATGAAATTATATGTATAGTTTAATGACTGATTTGTAGTTTTCCTTAAATTAAAACCCCTCATGGCACAAACAAAACCCAAGAAAAATCTAAGCTAAAATGCAGAAGCAAGCCCAACCTAGCTAGTAGAGACAGCAGAACTGCCGAAGACAACAGTAGAGACAGCAGAGTAGCCATGGCCACAGAGCTTGAAGAACTAGTGGGCTTTCTGTCTTCTCCTTCCCCGCCTGTAAGAGTCTCTCTGCTCTTTCCTTTTCTTTCTTTCATGGGGTTTTTTTTCCTTTGATGTATATTAATTAGTGGAATAAAAAAATTTATAGGTGAAGAAGGCAGCTGTTGAAATTGTTCGAGATTTGACTGGATCCGAAGATGGGTTACAGTCACTTTCCAAGTATGGCAGTACTGTGCTTCCTTCATTATCTCAGCTACTTGAGGAGAAAAAGGTCGCTAATATCAATTATCAATTATCATTTACAAATTACAAAAGTTACATGATTTGATAATTTTCTTGAATGTAACATTGCTGTTAATAATCCCGTCGGATTTGGCCTAGTGGTTATTGGGTAAGGACTTACTTGAGTTGTCCGGTTTAGGCATATGTTTTGAGTTTCATTCATGGTGCTGTTAGGTGCATGCATTTCCATGTTGGAAGATTCTAAGTGCAGTTGTGAAAGAGGGACTGCATTTACCCCCGCATTCTCAAGAGCAGCTGGCCTCAAATGTGCGGGGATTGCAAAGATGATGGCATGATGCACTTAGCAAAGTCTTACATTAGTAGGGTTATCATAGGTTTGTGTTTATATATTGGCCTGGGAAAAGAATAAACCTTATATTAATGGAATTTTATCTATATGTTTCAGGAGGTTTCTGAACCTGCAGCAGAAGCTCTTATAAATCTTTCACTCAACTCGAATTTAGCTGCAAAGATGGTTGAAATGGGAATCATTAAAACAGCAATGGATGTATTGTATAAACCAGATAGCAGCATAACTCGGTTGTCGGTGATGCTACTAGTTAACCTCACACAATTGGATTCTGGAATTGTGTCCTTGCTTCAGGTACTTTTCAGCAAAAAAAATTAAATTATATTTCTTTATTTTGGAAATTAATGGCTCTCATAATGTTTCTTCATACACTTTCTGGAGAGATGAGTGTTTTGTTTCCCTTGATCACCATATAAAAAAATAGTAACAAGAAATGGTTGCAACTTCACTTGCTTATTAGATTGAGGATGAGAAAATGCAAGGGCTATTCGTTATGAAGCTGGTGAGATCATTTGGTAGATCCTCTGATGAAACTAGAGGTTTGTTTTACTTCTTATCAGCTTGAGTTTATTATATGATTCAGATAATGCATCCAAATTTAAAGTCATATATTCGCATGTTACTTATCAAATTGAGTTCTAGCAATACACTTAATTGGTGTATAGCATACTTAAAAAATGGATAGCAAAGTTGTTTTTCTTTAGCTTATCCATCTACTCTGTGGCTTCATGTCTTTTATATTATGCATGCTTTTTGTATGCTGCAATGTTTTTTTGGTACTTAATGCCATGTGTATGGCAGATGATCCATTTGATCATGTTGGTTCAATTCTTGTGAACATTTCAAAGAAAGAAGCCGGAAGGAAGATGTTACTAGACTCTAAGAGAGGGTTGCTGAAACAGATTCTCCGCCAATTTGATTCAACAAGTCCATTACGGAAGAAAGGGGTATGCATAAATTATTAATTCTAACCACTAAAGTTTCTTCTAGAGTTCTCTTCAACATTTTAGGTATCTGTTTATGCAAGAAAAATGTAGGGGATGAATTTTGCAAGCAATTTCTGATATGTGGATGTATTTTGGTCCAAGTCCTCCATTTCTTTGTTCTTCTAATAATGATGAATTACTCTAAATTTGAATTCTATCTGGCCAAAATTTTCTACAGATTTATTCGAGTGACCTGGTATTATATGTGTCTGTGAATTTTTGTGCTCGTTGGGACCCATATTTAGGAGAAATGCTACAATATAGCCCTTTATTTTCTTTAGATATTTATCAACCTTTTCTTCTTTCGGCATGTGTAAATAGTTCTTAATGTTCAAGAACTTCTGCATCTAGATGTATTAGCCAATGGTAGCAAATTGTTCCATCCTTCCAGTGCTGATCCTCTTTTTATTGTTGTTCTCTGTTGCTGCTGCCACCCCTATTGATGAGTTTAGAATGTAAGAAAAAAATTTCCAATACCTTAGGACAGGTTTGAGATTGGTAATACTTAAAGTGCTTAAATTCAATTTCCAATAGAAGTATTTTTTGGTACCCTATCTGTTGCCTTCTTAGTTCAGGGTGACCTTGAATGGCTGAACGCAACCAAGATAAATAGAGTCAAACTTCATTGCTTAGTGGGATTGTTTTTCTTACAGGTCTCTGGAACACTCCGCAACTGTTGTTTTGAAGCTGAGAATCAACTTCAGAATTTTCTTTTGATATCTGAGTTTCTTTGGCCAGCTCTACTTCTTCCTGTCGCTGGTAAAAAGGTACCTATGTTACCTCTGTCTTGATCTTATAGAGTTTGTCACTCATTTTAAGTTCTATGCTTCAGTAAAACACTAGTGTAGAGTGATGCATGCTTTTTTCATAAGTAATTAAGTTTTATTTCATGTTTCAACCATAGAATAGAATAGGGAGGAAAACGAGAAAAGAAGGTAATCAAATTTTATTTCATGTTTCAACCATAGTGTAGGGAGAGTGTGAGGGGAACCAAAAAATAGTTGTTAGTTGAAGCACATACCCCACAAGATGTTTCCATTTCTAAGCACATAACCCACAAGATGTTTCAATTTATAAGCACATCACCCACGAAATAGTTTTATGCTTTTATCCATTCAGTTTGAAAATATAAGTTCATGCTCATAATTACATGGCTAAAGGCAGCATTATAGCAGTTGACAACAAATGATCTATATCCTCTACAGCATAACTACACATGCAAAACTAGTTGACAGTTTTGAATTCCCTTGTGATATGAATTTTCTATGAGTTATCCATCATAAAATACCTCTCTTTGGGATGCTAATGTGCCAAATATTTTCATATAGTGTAGAAAGAGACTTAACATCAAACTTGCCATACCCTTGAGGTCTAACACATGTCTTTGTCACTGGATTCTCGAGAATTGGAACCATTGAAGTACTAATAAAAAGCTCCCACTGTCTCTAATTTGCAATCTTGTGTCCCGCAAATAATTTGAGAGATGCATGATAGCAAATTGTTAATAATAGTCATCATGCTTGTATATATGTTTATGTATATAGTTCTCCGCCTATATTGATCACAATTTTTCTGTCTTCTCTGTTTCTTGTTTTTAGTATATTGAAAAAGCTCATGAACTCTTTTTTTTTCATTAATCTGGGTTGTCTTCCCAGATATATAGTGAACAAGACACATCAAAAATGCCTCTTGAGCTTGGCAGTGCACTCTCGATTGAGCGCGAACCATGGGATGATCCTGAAATTCGTGTTGAAGCATTGGAATCTATATACTTGATCATAGTACAGGTAAAATTACAGGCATTGCATTTTTCCTTTTCTGACAGGAAGTGTGTACGTCAAATTTTGTTTTGGTGTTACCTTTCAATGAGCAAGAAGACTTTGAATAGCTCAAAAATTTCAAAAACAAACCATGGAGCCTCACATTAGACCCTATTGAAGGGCTGGCTTTAGATTTAAACAACTTTTCAATTAGTTGTCTGGCCACACGTTGTAGACAAATCTGGCATTACTTAGTTATTTCCTTGCTTTCAAGTCGATATTCTTTAGGTAAATTAGCAAGACTGCCCCTAAGGTATAGTAACTTATAAGCTCCACCATCCAATTTATGTAAAAAATCGTGTTCAGTTAAAATTATTACAGTTTCCTTTTCCTCGTATTTTCTTTTTGTTTTTTTCCTTTTTTTTTGTTTTGGTTTTTAATCAGAGAAATCAGTTTTTGGTGTTTTATTATACTATTATCAGCTTAGTTCTTGCGCATCCTTCCATAACATTGCAGGAGGCAGGTCTAAGAGCCTTTTGGTCTGTGAATGGACCATGTATATTACAAGTTGGATACGAAGATGAGGAAGATCCTAAAGTAATGGAAGCATATGAACGAGTTGGTTCATTGGTATGTCAATCCTCGTTAGTGCTTTTACTGCAGTGTTTTCTTCTATTTGTTTTTTCGCGTCTTATTCCCTCTATTCAATTTGCAGCTGGTTCATGGCTGCGGAACAGAGGAACCCGCCAGTGAGACATCAAAATGATAGTCAGTTTGTGTAAGATCTGAAACAAATTGGTATCAGGCTGATTTTTGCTGTCAATCTGCCAGCGGACTGGAAAATGTTACCTAAAGTGTTCATTGAACTCGAGCAACTTTTGGTGATATAGGTGTCCAGGATAATGTGCTTGTAGTCTGTTAGAGAACAGTTCCTATAAAATTATATATATATATATATATATATATATATATATATATATAAAAAAAGAA